GCACACACACACACACACTCACGAGCCGCCGCCGCCGCCTCTCCCTCTCACAGCCGGCGGCACGGCACGACTTCAAAGCGCTCAGTCAATTAACTTAAATAGCTCTCCAGTTCACTTCTAGCTATTTCTTCGCCCGAGACTGCGCCGCTGACGCGACAGATCGGCGGACGCTCGCGAGGAACTACCTTTTGAAATGTCCTCCCTTTGACAAATAAAACTTTTTTGCTCATTTGAATGTATCCATTATCAAAGAAACACCTTTTGTGCGTGGCTCAAAGACGCGGCGTCGCGTGCGGCCGCCGCGCCGCTCAAAGCAGACGCCGCCTAATACCTCGCCAATTTATGAGCGTTCGATTTCAAAGCCGACTTTCCTCTCTCTCTCTCTCGCTCTCATTTTCTCTCTCTCTCTCTCTCTCTCTCTCTCTCTCTCTCTCTCTCCCTCCCTCTCTCTCTCTCTCTCTCTCTCTCTCTCGCACGTGTTTGCCAAAAATATTCAAAATTAAACCGACTCGCTCGCTTGCTCGCTCGTTCGTTCGTCTCACGGATAACGAATGGTAATCGCAGGGATGCGTCGCATTCTAATCACCCGCCGCCGCCGCCGCCGCCGACGCTTTGATGTGCGCCGACGTTCAAAACTCAATCGAGTTAATGATGATCAGAGCGGGAACACGATAAAGGCATTTCGGGCGACACGGTGCGTTTGATCCGACTCGATGTCGGACCGGCGTAAAGAGCCATTAAACGGCGACTCTATTAATCGAGCGAAGCCTCAAAGGAGAGCCGCAGCCGCGCGCGCGCTGCGCGAGCGACACGTCACATCTCAGCCAAATCGTTTACGAGCCGAGATTCGGTCAGCGTCGCGCGCGTCACACGCGACCATGCAGACAGATCGCCATGGCGACAAAGGCAGCCGGCCCTCTTCCAACACGACGTTCGCCTGGTTGTCGTGATGACGGCCGGCTCTCCGTGTGATGCTGGTCCGGTTGCCGTGACGACAGACAGCTCTCTTTGCGCCGTTGGTCCGGTTGCCGTGACGACAGACGGCTCTTCTTGCGACGTCGTACCGGTCGCCATGACGACAGCCAACGCTTTATGACATCTCCGCGAAGCCCTCGCGGTCGCCGTGACGACACTCACCGGCGGCTCGGA